AATTTTGTGTAAGTACACGTTTGTGTCTACTTCCGAAAAAGACACTAGGGCATATAATCTTCTTGATGTAGTTTGTTAAACTGCCAAGGAGAGTGAGGTCGACCAAAAATTCTATGAGTCGATCTAGTGCCAGCACTAAAATACCGGGGTTCTTATGTTGCCTATCCGTGGCCTTAGCTACCAAAAATATGTGTTTTCCTGGTATCAGGGGTCAGCAAAAGGGAGTAGCAATAGGAGGCAGTGATATCATCGAAGCTACACCAGGCTTCTTTTTCCGAAAAACTCTGTATTTTTATCCTCTTTTCTAAAGTCGGCAGCTTTTGTTGTTTTGAAACTTACATACGCGATTATCGTGATTGCGCTCGTGCGTTCGATGAGTATACAGTCACTGTCAGTCACAACGATGTAGTTCATGAATTGATTTGAGAGGTCAAAATACGATTCGAAAAACCGTCCGAAAACCGGCTTCTTAGGGTTGTCTCCCTCCGTCTCTAGTTCTCCCGCCTCATTTTTTAATCAGTAGATTTTTGTTCAGGACAAAATGTTCATCGACGTCTCCATTGATTGACAAGGAACGAGCAGATTGAGGTTATATCGGGAACGCATTATTGTCCATCTGGAGCAACCCAGTTGGATTCAATACTGACAAATCTGATGTATCTGATGCTGGATTAATCGACGTCCTGAGTTGTCAGGACTGTCTCCTTTGAATATGCAGAAGATCATGGAGCCATTCGAGAACTCGCAGGTTTGTTATTTCTTGGCAGATGCGAGTGCTTCTTTCGGGTTCGAACTCCACCTCTGATTCTGACCAATCAGAAGCGGTCTGTCTATCTACCATCGATCAAGTCGATGTCATGTGAGACTTTTATCTCATCCAGCTCAGCTACTGCGTTCATCGCATCTCCTAGTTCAATTTTGTCCGCCACAAAATCTTCACCGTACCGGTTTTCAATTTTGTATCTCACCCCCTTTTGCGTTGTCGGATCTCAATATCAAAGAGAAACTTAGGTCTTACTCTTTTGTCGATTTCAGTCTGCTCCGGGTCGTTCCAGTCTGCCTCAGCATAAGGAAAGATTTCATCAGCTTTTTGTTCAGATAACTCCAGATCTAGTGGCAGGCCACATTCATTTGCCAATTCCTTTTCATCCTTCTCATTGAAAGTATCCCTTTCATTTAATTCACCAGCGGGGTCCATCATCAAGTAGTCCTCCTGGTTCATGTCTGCTGGGATGCACCAATCCTCCGACGAAGCTTTGTGTGGCTTGATATTTTCATAATGAGCAGCGTGTCCGGTGCTCAATCGATAGAAGCGGCAACCTTGCACCATTTCTTCAGCAGCTTGGTACCCTTCGGGGGAATCACCTCGTGGAAGACCTAAACGTAGTCTCTGACTGATTGTGCATGTGCGCAAGCGGGGCTTTCATCAAATCTTTCGTTTTGCTTAACTTGTGCCTGCTCCGTATTTCGCCGCGAAGATCATTCAGTTCATGTTTTTTTTTATTGCTTCACGTATGCATGTTTGCAGCGCTGTCTTTTTCTCCCTCGTATTCGGGATAAAACAACGTTAACGGAAGATCTTTTTTATTGAAATTTTGTGTGGGTTGATCCTTGTAGTGGAATTCTCTGTGCTGTTGTACGCGACGGTCACCTGTGGTAGATGCTTGTCCCAGTCGTCCGTATATCGTGAGCAATAAACTCTCAGCATGCAGACTAGGGAGCAATTTTGTCTTTCGACCAGGCCATTCTTATGCGGGCGGTAAGTGGTCGAGTGGGCACATGCAACTTGGAATTTATTGGAATTCAGACATATATGGAATAATCACACGTTTCTTCCGCTGATATTGCGATGCAGGTTACTGCTTCTGCGTTTTTAGTGAAATGATCGATCATGACGAGCTCTTGATTATAGACTTGGTCATCATGCAGATTTTGTGATGATCTATTTGCACTACTTCGTTTAACCTTGTTGACTCTATCGACTGCAGAGTAAATTTTAACTTTCATGGATCCTCCGCTTGTTCAACAAGCAGAGATCCAGTTTCAACAAGCTTTTTTCTGCTGGTAGATTATTCTCTTGAAATTGCGGACTGACTATTTACTGATGTTCACCTGTAACATGTTCTCAGCACGATCGTTTGGCATCGAGTGTGCTAATTGGTTTTTGACCGGCAGTCCTGTTCGACAACCCGGCTCCGGTTCACTATCGGTCGGACATCTGTCTTCTCTGATGCAGTCAATCTTCGCAATCTTCGCTGGTGCTTTGTTCAGCATCGATATGTTATTGTTGCCCGCTCGGGAAAATTCTCGTTTTACCAGATTGAAGCGCATCAACAAGTCCAAAAGAAATGGGTTCAGGGTCTCTTGGTATGGAAAATCCTGATTTATTAAGCCATTTGGTTAGTCCGCATCTTTGAGTTTGTCATAAATGTCCTTATCCAAAAAGAAGAAGCGTCCTTCATTTCTGCCTAGTTAGCCTGTTTTTCTTCCGGTCGCTCTGAAAACCCTGTTTTTTTTTGTAAAGTTGCCTGCATTTTAGTGTGAGTCGCAAGTCCGTTGCTAATTGATCATGTGATAGCGATCGAGACGTAAAATCCAACGACCAATTGAACTGTAATCCATCGAGTATGTTTTCAGCTAAGCACGAACTCGATTTTCAACGCAG